TCTATTCTATTCTATTCTATTCTATTCTATTCTATTCTATTCTATTCGCCTGAGAAAGGCAGGGCAACCTGCTCTTGCAGTCTTGCCTTTCACTGTTTTGGGTCTTTTTCATCTGCATATAGAAAGCTATGCTGATCTGAATACAATTTTGATTTATTTTTCCTTCTGCAAATTTTTGAGATCACGATTTTTCTCAGTGTTTCTGCAAACAAAGGAATCTTAGATGGCTAGGCTAAGGCTGGCAGTTTGCCTAAAAATGTCTATCTTTGCAGCTGTCTCAGCTCCCAGTTACAATGGAGCTCAGCTCAGCAAGGGAATCAAAAGTGAAACCAGGCGCACTCTGTATATGCTCTTAATCCATATTCTACTCAAAGCAGAGAATTGACACTAAAGTTTGACCCAAATATATTTCAGAGCATTGACTCAAAATACCTCATTTGGATTGTTTTATCTTTGAAGTTGTTCTTCTTACCGCCCTCTTTTATGTCTTTATTTCTGTGTGCCTTTTGGATGCATATGAGTCAAGATGCTTCATCCTATGGCATTCATTGTTTGTCTATTTGTTAGCAACACAAGTGGTTGCCCTTTTAGGAAATGTTACAGTGATGTTACAGTGATGTTACAAATGTTAGTGAATTACACTATGTAGAAAAAGAGGGAAAATTTCTAGGATTGCATGGATATTGTAGGTTGTGAATAGGTTATGCTATTTTGTATGCAAAACTACTAGAAGAAAACCCTAGCGTTACACAGATAAGGGAATGGCTTTTGAGGATTTTAACACAGAAGTGGGAAGGAAAAAGACAACCAGTGGCATTTTTTTGTCTAAAATGCTAGACCCTATCTGTCAAGGTTAAAAGGAGACTTATAGGGAGGATTGGATCTTGAACATTATTGTGTTGGGGTAGTTGTGTTATAGCCTAGTTAGACTTCATTTGATGGATGTTCCCTTGGGGGAAGGATTAATTTGTTTGTAGATGGGAAGAGAAAGTAATAGAAGGAAGAGACGGACTTTTGGTCTAGCTAGCTAGAAAGTTAAGTTGGTCTGCACAGACTTGTGCTGACTTGGAAGCCAAGATAGCAGCGGTAGGAGGAATGTTTAATGTTATGAGATAGAAAGTGGGAGCAATAGAAATTGGAGAATGGAAATGGGTATTGCCTGATGGAAGGAAAATGTTGATTTTGTAAGTACTACATCAGGGTAGTCATTGGGGGACTAAGGTATGATGTGATTTGTTTTTGGAAGTTATGGATGCTATGGATTGTATACAGTAACTAAACAAATATGTGACTTGTATAGTATGTAAAAGAGTTAGTAAGCAAGTCCTACTCATAAAGAAAAGAGGCACTGGCTTACTTGAACATAGTTTTTCAGCATGCCATTGGAGAATCCACACACAAGGGTTGATTCTGCCTTTCTGCCCAGAGACTGAGGCATCAATCTTTGCCATGCCTCCTCCTGTCCAGACCAGGAAGCTCCCAGTCACGATGAAGGTGCAGTCACCTGATGATCTTCATTGTGTTATTGGCTTGGCCTCTCACCTGGACACTGGACCAGACAGTAGCCAGGGTGGGATTGGATTCTCCAATGGCAAGAAACCGCATTCAGGTAAGCCAACGCCTCTTCTCCAGCATGCCTATTGGAGAATCCACACACATGGGACATACCAAAGCCAGCTGTCTCTATGGGCGGGAAGCGGTCTGATCCTGTGATCCTGTCAGTATGTACTTGTTGGAGCACCCTTCTACCAAAGGACAGCTGTGCAGAGTCAAATGTGTCTAGTTTGTAATGTCTTATGAAGGGAAACGGGGAGGACCACGTCGCCACCCTGCAGATGTCCTGGAGAGAGGCCTTAGCCACCCATGAAGCTGTAGTAGCTGAGCTTGTTGAATGGGCGGTTACTCATCTGGGAGAGCCTGAGTCTTGTAGGCCTTGGCTATACAAGCCCTTATCCAACAGCCTATGGTTGATACGAGAGCTTGGTACCCATGGAAGATGGTTGAAATGAGACAAATAGGGCTTCAGTTCTGCGATATGACAATGTTCTTTTGATGTATCTGCGGAGTGCTGTCCTTACATCCAGAGTGTGCCATTTGTGCTCTGTGAAATGGAGCCAGGCAGAAGTCTGGTAACACTATTTCCTGAGCCCTACGTAAGCAGGAGTTGACTTTAGGGATGAAGGAGGGGTCCAGCCATAGAACTACCCTGTTGTGTGAAAGGTGAAAAGGTCTTCTCCATTGTGGTGGAGATAGCATTCAGGATTGGGTGATCAATCTCTGCTTGCTGATTGGACTGAGTCTGTCAAAACTTTGAGGACACTCCCTCTGTTGCTAGGGACCTCTGACAGAAAGAGCTGCCAGTTCTGATATGCGCCTGGCTGAGGTGATGGCCATTAAAAAGGCAATTTTCAATGTTAGGTAGCGCAGACTCATAAGACAGTAGTGATTCAAAAGTTCCAGGGTGAGGTCCTGCAAAACTTTAGACAGGTCCCAGGTAGGATACCTGTGAATCACAGGTGGTTTGAGATTAACTGCCCCTCTGAAGGTATGGACCACCGGATGGTTAGCTAGGGAGTCCAAATCTCTGCAATTCAGTGCTGTAATTCAGGACAAGGCGGCCACTTGTCTGCATAGTGTGCTAGGTGAGAACCCTTTGTCAAGTCAGTCCTGTAAAAAGTCCAGGATCTGCAGAATAGAGATTGCTATGGGATCAATTTCCCTCCTGGCACACCACTTACAGAACACCTTCAAGGTAGCATCATAGATTCTATTAGCGGAAGGTCTCCTGGAAGCTTGGATTGTCCGTATCACCTTCCATGAGAAGTTATCCTTCCTCAGGATCCTCCTCTCAAGTGCCAGGTGGTCCATTGGAGCCACTGAGGCTCTGGGTGTTCCAAGACCCCAGGACTGAGGGAAATCCTGTCCTGACGAATTCTCCAAGGACGGGACACTGACATGCTTACCAAATCTGCATATCATGACCATCTGGGCCAATGGGGAGTGATGAGTAGAATTTCCGCCCATTCAAGTAGCACTTTCCAGAATGAGTTATCACCCCCAGAATGAGGAGAAGGGAAGGAATAGGCCCTTGGGTCACTGGCTGTGAGGACATTGACCCCTTCTGCTCCCAGAGTCTGGAACCTAGAGAAGAATTGGGGAAGTTGGGTGTTTGTTGGAGTGGCGAACAGGTCCAATACCGGCTGGCTGAATTTCTGGGACATTTCTTCAAGATCCGCGTGGAGATGCCACTCAGAGTTGTCCACCTTGGTCCTGCTCAGGTAATTTGCCTCTTTGTTGCACCAGATGTGTGCTCCACCTAGCCCAGGTTCTCAGTTGTTCCACTTCGCTCATGAGGGACCTGGAGTGGGTCCCTCCTTGATGGTTGACATGTGCTTTGGCCGCGATGTTGTCCATCAGGATCAGTATGTGCTGGCCTGATAGTGCTCTGGAATTGCCTTAGAGCCAAGTGAATTGCTTGGAGTTCCAGCCAGTTTATATTGTGTTTCAGGTCCGCTGGGGACCATTGTCCTTGTGCTAGTTGAGACTGTCTCCCCATCTGAATAGACTCCCCTAGTTGAGATGGGCTCCCCATCTGAATAGACTGGCATCTGAGGTTACTGTCATGCAGTTGGGTTTCCTGAATAGGGTTCCCTTGGTTATTGCTGGGAAAACCCACCATCTGAGGGACCTGATGGTATCTAACATTACCTGAACCCTGATATTGGAGGTACTGGTACCTATCCTCTGGAATGGCAAGAGGAACCATTAGAGGGTTCTGGTGTGTAAACGAGCCCAGGGAACTATCACTATGCATGATATAATTTTCCCCAAGAGTTGGGAAAGCAGCACCAAGAGAACTACTCGCTCCACTCTGATTTGGTTGACCAAGGACTTGATGCTGTCCTGGCACTCCTGGGACAAGTAAACCTCGCACAGACTGGTGTCTATCACCACGCCCAGGTGTACCAGGCGGGTGGATGGGACTAGATGACTTTTTTGAAAGTTGATGGAGAACCTGTGTTCCTGAAGAACACAAATTGTAGTCCCAACATTGAGTTGTGCCTGTTGGCTAGAGCTGAATGAGAATATCGTCCAGGGAGCACTGGACCCACATTGGGATTGTTCTGAGGTGTGCAGCCAGTGCTGCCAGCACCTTTGTGAAGGTTCTGGGGGCCGGTGATAGGTCAAATGGCAGAGCCTCGTACTGATAGTGGTTCCCTGCATAATAGAACCTGAGAAACCTCCGATGGGAGGAAAATATGGAGATGTGGAGATAGGTTTCTGTCAGATTGATGGATGTGAGGTCGCCTCCCCCTTATGCCCTTCAAAATTGACTGCAGATATTGCATCTTGAATCTCTTGTACTCTAGGTGTACGTTCAATTTTTTGAGATCCAAAATTGCTCTCCACCCCACCCACCCCCAGGCATTTGGGACTACGAATAAAATGGAGTAAAACCCATGCCCCCTCTCGTCCTCCAGCACCAGCTCAATGGCCTGGATGTCCAACAAATGTTGGATTGTCTTGTTCATAAGGCCTCTTCTTATGAGGTTTTTGGAAGCAGGGAATCAGTGAAGGTCCGCAGAGGTGTGGAGAGAAAGTCCAGAGTGAAACCAAATTGCATGGTATTCAGGACCCAAGAGTCAGAGGTGATATTCTCCAATTGGTCTGCAAATAGAGCCAGGTGGCTGCTGATAGGAGGAGGGTTCAGGCCACCATTTGGATCGGCTCTGGAAAACTGCTTTTCAAGGGCTTTTTGCCTTCTGCTTGCACCCCTTTCTTCTGCTCTGGTAGGTTTCCTAGAATAAATGGCTTTTGCCCTTATTTTGTCTGCTGCATCGTTGATTGCAGATCTAGCCTTCCTGGAACTCTGTTTAGAGGATTTTTTTAGAACATTTAGACTCCATGTTATCTGCTGAGTGATCAGTCATTGCAATAGCTTGAGCCTAAAGACTGCCCTGAGAGGAGAAGCTAATTGTTCCATCCTCTGGCTGGGGCTCTAGGGCACACCCCTCCCAAAGGGTGGGAATTAGTTGCAGAGCTGCACCCCTATGCCTGGCCTATTTGGGCCATTATTGGTCGTTTAGGGAAACCACGCGATAACGGAGCGAGAAGAACAGTCTGCTTAAAATCCTTTTGCTGCCTCTCTTCTAATCTTTTCAAATCTTTTGGAGAATCCACACTTTAGATGAATGCTGCTTTGCAAAACATGGAGCCAACCTTTACAAAGCCTCAATCAGGCCAAGACTGAGTCGTGACCGGGCGCTTCCTGGCCCTGACAGGAAGAGGTGTTGCAAAGATTGATGACTCAGTCTTTGGGCAGCAAGACAGAAACAACCCATGTGTGTGGATTCTTCAATAGGCATGCTGGAGAAGGGAGGGCAACATTTAGCGTGAGATCATTTCAATGCATTCAAATTGCTTTTATTGAATTCCCTCAAGTGGGGAGACTTAATTATTTATTGATGATAGTGGATCACTTGACTGGATGGGTTAAGTCTTATCCAGCCATGAGAGCCACCTCAGCAGTAATCACCAAAATTATACTGGAACAGATCATACCTTGATATGGAACAGCAGAAGCTATAGACAAGCAACTCATTTTTCGGCAAATGTCCTTCAATCATGGAGTATGGGAATTCAGTGGGAATGTCACGTTCCATGGAATGCAAATTCATCTATGCCATGGACCGAATGTTTACCCCTCAGAATTCCAACCTGCCCAAAAAGGGACATTTTACCTTATGAAATGATGTTTGGATTACCACACCAGGAAATTCCACAATATGAGTACTTACATGTATGGTATTCAGCTTTGTTCGGGTATGGGGCATTGGTATTTACCTGGTACGCCCGTTTTCTTTGAGCTGCGAAGAGCATCCAGTAGTGGGAGGTGCTTCAGTCTCTGCATTGTTAGGCTGAGCTTGAATTGAGGAATGCTCCTCCTCCTCCATGTGACTCCTCCGTAGCATTCCCCAGTTTTGCGAAGACGAGAGGAATAAGTGTTCTCATCCCTACTACCTAAAAAAGTGCATTGGCTGAAACAAGAGCCCACCAGACGGAAGAAAAGGGTGGGGCTGGATGCTCTTCACAGCTCAAAGAGAACGGGCGTATCAGGTAAGTACCAACGCCCTTCTCCTATGAGCTGCTCAGAGCATCCAGTAGTGGGACATACCAAAGCTTGGCCTGTCCTACGGGAGGGACTCTGTCTGGTTCGGAATCTCCTCAGGGTCGCTAAGAACCCATTGCAGAACCTGTCTGCCAAATGAGGCCTCCGCAGAGGCAAACACATCAATTTTGTAGTGTCTAATGAAAGGTGATGGGGAGGCCCAAGTCACTGCCCGGCAGATTTCAGTTACTGGTGTCTGAGTGGCCCAAGCCGCCGAGGTTGCCGCACTCCTAGTTGAGTGAACAGTTATGCCTCTAGGCACTTGCAGGGCTTGAGCCTGATATGATCTAGCTATTGTTGCTCTTATCCAACGGCCTATGGTGGATGGAGACACCTTTTGACCCTGTGTCTTGGGCTGAAAGGAAACAAATAAGGCTTCTGATTTTCTGAAGGACTGAGTGCGCTTGATGTAGATTCGCAGAGCGCGCCTAACATCAAGCTTGTGCCATTGCCTTTCCCTCTCTTGTGAAGGCCTGGGACAGAAGTTTGGAAGGATGAGCTCCTGTGCTCTATGGAAAGCTGAGTTGACCTTAGGCATGAATGAGGGATCGGGACGGAGAATCACCCGATCGGCATGAAAAATGCAGAGATCTTGTCTGACAGACAAGGCTCCGATTTCCGATATGCGACGAGCGGAGGTGATGGCCACCAGGAAAACTACCTTATACGTCTTTGGTGAGAGACAGGAGGACCTTGTTAAGGTCCCAGGTGGGGTAGCGGTGTACTGCCGGGAGGCTTAGATTGGTAGCCCCTCTAAGGAAGGAGCGTATGCAAGGGTGATGAGAGAGGGAGCTGAAACCTTGGCAGGAAATAACTGATGTTAGCGCTGCTACCTGCCTCTTCAGGGTATTAGGGGATAGACCCTTATCAAGTCCCTCCTGCAGAAACTCTAAAATCTGAGCTACAGAAGGTGAAGTAGGGTCTATTTGAGATTTACTACACCATCTGCAGAGAATGGCCCATGTGACATTGTAAATACGGATGGTTGAGGGTCGCCTGGCAGTTAGAATGGTGCTAATGAACTTGTTGAAGAGCTTCTCGCTCTTCAATCTGCTCCGCTCAACCTCCAGACGGTCAATTGAAACCATTGAGGGTCCGGGTGAAGGAGGGGCCCCTGAGATAGTGAGATCTTGTCTGGTGGAATCCTCCAAGGAGGGGCTACCGAAAGGCTGCGAAGGTCTGCAAACCACGGCCGCCTGGGCCAGTGAGGTGCCACTAGGAGTAATTCCGCTTTCTCTTGTAACAATTTCTGGATAACCCTGGGCACCAGTGCTAGTGGGGGGAATGCATACAAGAACCCCCTTGGCCATGGGCAGCAGAGAGCGTTGTAATTCTCCGCCCCGTGGGATGGGTATCTTGAGAAAAATCTGGGGATCTGAGCATTGAGAGGGGAGGCGAATAGGTCCACCACTGGTTGTCCAAATATCCTTGCTGCTTCTTTGAACAGCGATGGGTGGAGTTGCCACTCTGACTGGTCTATGGTGGCCCTGCTTAGCCAATCTGCTTGTGTGTTTGACAGGCTGGAAATGTGCTTTGCCTTGATAGAAAGATTGATCTCCGCCCAGCGACACAGACACTCGGCTTCTCTCATCAATTGTATGGATTGTGTGCCCCCTTGTTTGTTTATGTGAGCTTTGGCTGTCACATTGTCTGTTAGGATGAGGATGTGTTCCCACCAAATCAAAAATAATCTAAGAACCGTTATTGACGTCTTAGAATATTATGAAGTTCATCCAGAGAAACAATTTGCACTCATGTTTTTAGATGCTGAGAAAGCATTTGATAATCTACATTGGCACTTTTTAATACAAAAAATCTATAACATGAGTCTGGGCATTAAATTCGAGAACATTATCACAACAATTTACAACACCCAACAGGCCAACATACTAATTAATGGTGAACAAACAGGCCCATTAAACATTGAAAAGGGCATCAGACAGGGTTGCCCCCTCTCACCCCTCCTATTTATACTTGCTTTAGAATCACTGTTAATGCGGATAAGACAAAAGTCTGAAATCCAAGGAGTAAGGGTCAAAGCAGAGGAATATAAACTACAGCCGTTCGCAGACGATATAGTTTTCTTCCAAGAGGAACCCATGGAAAAAGGACATAACCTAATAAAAGAACTAGAACAATTTGGTTCAGTAGCAGGATTAAAGATCAATAGAAATAAGACAAAATTAATGACTAAAAATCTAACAGAGAATCAGAGGAAAGAATTAGAAAAAACCATAGGGATACAGGCAACAAAAAAGGTCAAATATTTAGGCATATGGTTAACACCACATAGTAAATTGCTCAAAGAGAATAATTACGATAAACTATTACAGCAAATTAAGAAAGACCTAGAATCCTGGAATAAGCTGCAGCTTTCTCTACTGGGCAGGATTGCCACGATCAAAATGAACATCCTACCAAAACTCCTTTACTTATTCCAGACAATTCCAATTAAATTACCAAAAAATTTTTTTGAAGATATAAATAAGGTAACACTTAAATTTATTTGGCAAAGGAAAAAAGCTAGAATCAATATTAAGGCTTTACAAGATGCAAAAAGTAGACGGGGGCTAGCGCTCCCAAATTGGGAATTATATTATTGGGCAGCCAACTTATTATGGTTAAAAGACTGGGTTAATTTACTCAGTAAAAGGATGAGGATGTGTTGACCTCGTACCTGGGGAGAGAAGTTGCGGAGGGAAAGGAAAACAGCGTGGAGCTCCAGCCAGTTTATGCTGCACGACTGTTCTATTGCGGACCATCTGCCCTGGGATGTGAGTGACTGAAGGTGGGCACCCCATCCGAATAAGCTGGCATCTGTGGTGATGGTAATCCTTTGAGGCTCCTTGAAGAGGCAGCCCTTGTTGATGACCGGTTTGGCCCACCAAAGTAGGGACATGAGGACCTTGGGAGGTACCCTGACCATGCGTTTGGAGTTGCTTCTGCCGGATTTCTGGTATGGAAGCAGGAACCACTGGAGGGATCTAGAGTGTAGACGGGCCCAGGGAATAATAGAAGTGCATGATATCATTTTTCCTAATAGTTTAGAGAGATCTAGTAAGGACACCCTTCTAAAGCGCCTAATCTCCCGAACGTATTTTTGGATGCTGAAGACAGATAGACTTTGCCTTCCAATGTGTCGATAACTGCCCCCAAATGAGTAATTCGAGTCGATGGGGATAATTGACTCTTTTTCCAATTTATGAGAAAACCATGCTCTTGGAGAGAAGCTAAGGTAGCCTGGGTGTCCCTCACTGCTTGGGGATTAGAGGGGGACAGGATTAAGATGTCGTCCAGGTAACACTGAAGACGAACGGGTATATTCCTGAGATGGGCAGCGAGTGCTGCGAGAACCTTGGTAAAAGTTCTGGGCGCAGAGGCTAAACCGAAGGGAAGGGCCACATATTCAAAGTGGATATTGTTGTAACAGAACCTTAGAAACTTAAAATGGAAAGGCCGAATAGCGATATGTAGATATGCCTCCGTTAAGTCAATGGACGTGAGCACATCCCCATGTCTGATGCCCAGCAATATCGATTGTAGGGTATGCATTTTGAATTTACGATAAATTAGAAAGCGGTTAAGCCGTTTTAAATCCAAAATTGCTCTCCACCCCTCTGAGTGTTTTGGAACAACGAAGAGATGAGAGTAAAAACCCCGCCCTCTTTGTTCGTATGGAACTGGTTGAATGGCTTTTATGTTTAGGAGATGTTGAATCGCGGAATCCATTAGATTACGCTTGATCAGATCTCTGGAGGGGGGGCATGACATAAAGAAATTTGGGGGGGGGTGAAACTCAAGGGCAAGACCAAATCTAACGGTGTCTCTGGCCCAAGCGTCAGAGGTAGAAGAGTCCCATTGACTCGCAAACAACTTAAGGCGACCACCAATGGGGAGAGTCTTCCTTGACCTATCTTGGTCGTTGGAAGGGCCTGCTTCCTGTCCCTCGAGAAGGCCTCTTGTATTGACTGCCCCTCCTACTCCTGTCTCCCAAATCAGCTCTATCCTGGGGTTGAGCTGACCTAAAGGAAGGAGGCCTCTGATACCTGGGGGAGAAAGGGGCCTGATAGAAGGGCCAAAAGGAGCCTCTCTGAAAGGGCTGGGGGTGTTCTGAAGTCTGATTTTCATATAAGGGAAGGAAGGAACTTTTTCTTGTTGCGGGTCTCCATAAGTAAGGGGTCCAGGGAGGGACCAAACAGCTTATCTCCCACAAGGGGGGAAGAGGCTAGTTTTGCTTTGTTCTTAAAATCTGCCTGCCAGTGTCTCAGCCAAAGTAAGCGGCGGGCAGTGACATGTGATGTGATTGCCCGAGAGGAAAATTTGACTGAGTGGTAAGTGGCATCAGTGGAAAACTCAGCAGCAGCCGTAATCTTCGCGATGTCCTGGTGTGCCCTGATGTTAGTCGTGGGTACATGTTGCTGCAGTTGGCGAAGCCAACGAATGGATGCTCTCATGAAAAAAGATGCGGCCTTAGCCGATCTGATGGCCCAAGCATCTGACTGGTGTGCCCTGCGCAGGGCTAATTCGGCCTGCTTTTCCTCAGGCTTTAGGGCCTCTAACACCTCAGTGGGAGTTAAGGAGGATGCTAGGCCCACTATGGGTTTGTCTACCTCCGGGGTATTCAACAACTTTGAAAATCCTGAGTCTAAGTTAAAGAATCTTTTATCATGACCATATGGGGCCAGGTGTACCACTGTAGAGGCCAGCTGCTTTTGCACTAAATCAGAGAAAATAGGTGGGACCGGTATAACCTTGGCCTCAACTACAGGCTGGTTAAAGATTAGGTCCGCAGGACCTTCTGTTGAGGTTGCGGGGGTGTCGCCTCGTGATTGGGTACTTAGGCCTGAGATGTTCTTGGCCTTGAATAACAGAGATTTGAATAAGTGTGGTCTGAATAAACCCGCAAAGGCGGGCTGGTAAGGGATAAGCCCCTCGTCCTCAGACATTTCCCCTTCCAAGGGGTCTGCCTCTGATAGGGGCTCACTATCCTGCATGTACCCCATTTCAAGTTCATCTGCCTCCATGAACTGGCCCATTTCTCCCTCGTCCTGCTCCTCCTCCCGGCCCTGGAAGGGGGTCTCCCTCTGCAAGTATACCTGGTTGTGGTCCGACCTGGGCAGGGATCTTAGTGACTGAGACTCAAGGTCAGGAGCCACCGGATAATGACTAGACCTGGTTACTTGCTGGATTCCGTCTGTGATTCTTTGGCGGATGGCCAACTCCGTCCAGGTCCTCAGTCTCTCCGGAACCTCCTCAATGAGGGAACCTTCTTGACGAAGGCCAGCGGCTATGGGGGTGAAGGTGGCTTCTGGCGCCCTTCTAGCTGGCGTTCCGGGAGTCTGAGCATGTTGACCTTGCGAGGGCAAGCTGCGCCTGGGTGAGAGGGGAAGATCTAGAAGAGGGGGGGGGTTGAGCAGAGGTAGAAGGACTGGAGGATGCTAAAGCCTGAGGCACCGGGAGAGCTTCCCTGGTGCGCTTATCAATTTCTTTTTGTAGAGCCTTGTGGCACCGTAAGGCGTCTCTTTGAGAGGCTTTGGTCTCTTTAGCCTGCTTGCGCAAATGACGGGTTTTGGCTTTTGCCTTCAATGAAGGGCCTTTAGAGGTGTTACCATCTGCTATTCTTGTAAATTATATATTATAGTAATAGGGTAGAAAAAGACAATACGATGCGGTTGGCATGCCCAGGGTCCAATCTGAGTCAAAACGGTTGCCCTGATAATTCTTAACGTTCCTCCCACTCTTTTTTTGGTGACTATATGAATATAACCAAATATATAAGGAGTCGTATTTCAGTGATATTAATGTAACGAATTACATTATACTGTATAAAATATTATTATTATTATTGTTGATATTATTAAGTTTATTATTATTACTATTGTAAAGTAATACTAATGTTGAGGTTGCTTGAAAGTGATACCACAATGAGGCTGGTATATTTGTTGCACTAGTGCTCCAGGAGCCACAGTATACTTGCAACACAATTTTTGAGAAAAATTCAACCAATCAGCCAAATTTCGATACGCCTGAGGCCTGAGTAGAAAAGAAAATGGGGCCTACAGCAGCCTGCTTGCACAGGCGGACAAGGCCTAGGTGCCTGCTGCTGTGCCGCTGAGTGAAACTGTGGGGTTTTATTAAGCCAACAATATTCAGTGAGAAAGGTAACCTCGAGTATGAATTGCCAGATAAAGGAGGTTAAGAGACTCAAGAGGATCCAGGTAAAACCTCTGTCGAGCCAAATCCACCCACAGTGCAGGAAAATTGAAGAAATTAGGCCTACGCCACGTTTCTTCACAATCCAAAATGGCGTCCGCCAGTAAAAGGTAGCTCTATTAGTGCTCAGTGGTCTCTTTGCTTAGGGGAAAACGAAACCGAAACTCCAAGTATGGAGCCGGTGAGAGAAGGGAGAGAGTAATCTGTTGAAATTGGAATCGGCTAAGGAGCAAGCTAAAGCACTGCCTGTTTCGCACGAAGCTGAGCTAAAACTGGGGAACGCTACGGAGGAGTCACGTGGAGGAGGAGGAGTGTTCCTCAATTCAAGCTCAGCCTAACAATGCAGAGACTGAAGCACCTCCCACTACTGGATGCTCTGAGCAGCTCATAGGAGAATTTCCCACGTCATTATAGCTGTGCTTTTAAAGTTGTAGCAACGTTTCGGCAGAATCTCACCTGCCATCATCAGGCTTCTGTATTGTGTTCATCTGTGAGTCAGACTTTCACAGCCGTTTCAGTTTTAAATTTGGGGCTAGCCTACTACTGTGCCAGAATGGTTTTTTCTTTATCCTGATTGGTTGGGAGTCTTGGTCTATGTTTATTGGTCTTGGAATTTGCTGTGTTCTGCTTGATTGGTGTTTCTAATATCTTCGATCTGTTTTGTGGCTTTTTTTTGTCTTGATTGGCTGGCAACATTGTGTTCCTGTATTGGAGGCTTTTAGTGCAGCTTGGCTCCAAGTAAACGGATGGCTATCATTTATTAGGAAGCCAGGTTTCATCTGGGTCCCTGGTTGGGGTGTGTTTGAGCTGGAGGATCAGGGGGGATCTGTTTGTGCCCAGGTGTTTGCCTGGCTTGTGGTGTGGAGATTTTTTTGTTTGTGAGTGCAGGCTTCCAAATAATTGACAGTCTGGTGGAATCATCTCTTCTAT